AAATGATAAAAATATATCACAGAGTAAAAGATAACCAAATTTTTATATAACTTTTACGATGTTTATAGTACAAATATTTATAGATTATGTTCAAAATAAGTGTCATCTGCAGCTATACATTTTTGCAGAGTGTTCATAGTTTTTATTAAAATAGTCTTGCAGTCCATTCTGTATTGTCTCCTTTAGTGCAATTACAACAACGCTTTTATCTGTTTTGAATCTGTTATCCTTTCATAGAGCTTTTATTTTGATGAAAATCTGCTGAAATAAGGTCCAGTGAGTGAGAAATGTATCTGCTGTTTTTCCAGATATTTGGTAAATAGAAGAGTTTAATGTGATGGAGAGTGCAACTTTTTGCTTGCCAGAAATGTGTGTTTTCATTTTACTCCATTATAGAGGTAGCAAAGAATGTTCAATGTACAACTTATTTTAATAGGTCTATCATCAAGGACTTCCACATCAAAAAAGCCACAAACATTACTTTCCTTTTGGATTGGATCTGTTGAGATGAAATTTTTTTCTACTTTGATGAAGAGACTGATTTCCATGATGAAGCATTGGTATTTTTTTATATGACCTACAGGGTTATGTAAGAAATATCAGCAATCACTCTGTTTAGGATATCTGGGTCTTTAACAACTGTGTTGATCAGTTCTCTGCCGATGATTGCATATTCTTCATCTGTTAACTGCTTCAGAACAATGTGAGAACAGACATAATGCATTTTTAAATCATTGTGAAGACTGGCATGGTATCAAAATTTCCAAAATGTTGACCAGATCATTTATTGACTGTCTGTGGTCTCTTTTGATCTCTTCATAAACTTAGCATTTCTTCATTATTTGCAGATGATGACCTACCTGAATGATGATTGTTCTCATTAATTTATGGCTGCCTTTAAAATACTTACATCATTTGTGTACTCATGTAATTGTCACCTGGTGTCCTTGCTAGGGCTTGGATTTTTATGCAAAAATTTGGATTTTGGGATTGGTATTCTTTAAAATGAGAAGAAAAATGGAAATATGGAAGTTTTATGATCCAAAAGTTGGGAGTTATAAGTGCATATTTCAAATGCAAAAGCATATTTTCTTGCTTTTGAGAATTTTCTAGACTGCTACTACTGTTGAGAGACCAATTGAAATGTCTTGTAATTGTCTTTGATAATTTTCTAGATTATAACTGCTGCATTGCTCAATGCTAACTCTATCTTTCGTCAAGAGTTTTTTGAAGTTGCTTTCTTCAAATCTGAATTGAGTATGATGTGTTCTTGTTGAATTGATATCATAAAGATATAAACATCTAAAAGTTCAATTATTTTTTAATTAATGCCAAACAATTACTGACAGTCATTTGGCTTTGATTTCATAAAGTATCTTTGATTTAATTTACTAAAATTTTTTGAAGTCTAAACATGCCTACTGGAAAATTGTCTTATAGTTCTAAATGCAGAAATTTTCTTTGTTTTTTTTCTGCTTGCTGTGTAATAAAGCTGTTGCATATGAAAAGCAGACACAAGTACTTCAAAATGTAAACACATAATTGCATAAAGCTGTCATTTTACAGTCCAATGGAATACAAAATTAGAGTCTGTTTAAACATTTAAGCAAACCAGATCATCAGAATAAGTTGCAGTTTTACAACTTAAACAAATTGTTGATTGATGTGACATTTATTTCACAAACTCAGCAATGATGTGCTTAAGAATTTTCTTGAGAAATATAAAATGAAAAGTACCAGATGAATCTACTCTTTGAAAGAACATTGTCAGTGAATTATATGATGAAACCATCGATACAATCAGAACAAACACTGAAAGAAAAAATTGTGGTTATCCATTGAGAAACCACAGATGCGCTTGGTAGGAACATTGTTAATGTAATAGTTGGCATGTATGATAGTACATTTAAAAGTGCAGAATTTATAACCAAAAACTTATATTTCACAATTAATATATTTTATTCTTGCGAGCGTCGAAAGCGCTCGCAAGAATAAAATATATTAATTCTGTTCATCAGTAGTTTCCCCTCTAATAGTAAGCATATTCTAAAAACTATTACAGTTACAAGCTGAAAAACTTATATTTGTTTCATACTATATCTGTAGAAGAATCAAGCATTCAACCATTGTGAAATGCATAAATGATGCACTACAAATTTTATGATCAAATGGAATATATTACAGCATATCTTTTCATATCTGATACTTCTAGCTATATTCTGAAAATGGTCAATGTGCTGAAAGTGTTTTATACCAAAATGATTAGCACATTTAACATGTTTAGGACATGCATTTAGCAGAATTTGCAAAACTGTTTATATGACATTTCCTAGTGCCAATAAATTGATCATCAACTGTAAAAAAGTTTTTGTGAGGCCTCAAATAACAATGATAGGAATTTTAAGAATGCTTTCAAATGTGCGTATTCCTCTATCTTGTACCAACATGTTGGGGTATATGACTATCTGCTGTAATATACGCTGACAGTATTTACAATGTATATTAAGTTGTAAAAATTTTTGATTTCTGGATAACAACGGACATAAATCAATGCGGTATTTAGTTCCTGGGCCGTAGGTTGGTGACCTTCTGCATTAGATAAAAATACCTATGACAGAAAAACAATAGAAATTTGAATATGAATTGAAGAGTTATTATTTTACTAAAGTAATGTTTAAAAAATGACAAGAAATTAAGAGTTACAACATAAAAAAATAATTTTTTTCAGTTTTTGATCCTGAAGATTACCTTCAGGTAATGTGTACATTTCAGAAGCTCTGGAATGCCTTGAAAGTGACAGCATCGAGTAAATCCATGCTTATATTAGTGCCAATTTTGTGTTCTCTTATAGACATGATTACCAAGTTGGAACAGATACTTCATCTCAGTGAATCAATTGATGTAATTAACTAGACAATTAACAAAACTAATAGTCTACTTGGATTTGTCGAAACCACTTTGAAGCAGAAATTAAAACATGTGCTAGATATGAATTACGGATGGAAAACTATTTATAGCATGAATGATGTGATTTAGGGTGAAGCAATAGGCAGTGAAAACAGCATTTTTCGTGTATGCCCCAATTCATCTTGAGATGTACAGAGATCATTTTAAGGTGCAAAAGTGTTGTTAGACTGAATCAATTGTTCTTCACCGAAGAAAATTTATCAAAATATTTCATAGTATATTGTAATGTTTAAGCTTTCCTACAATAAATAACATATATATTACATAAAATAATGTTAAATAAATATCTGACTAGTTTTTAGAGAAAAACAAAATAGACATATTGTGTTATATACATGCCCTTTTAACTGCATTAAAAAATCTGGTCGTTAGTCATTACCATATATTTCTATAAGCAGATTAAATGTCTCAGTAAAGTTTTTACCAGATTTGATGCTGAATTTAATATTGATTTGGTGTTCATGATGCATAGTTTTAGAATTCTGATGAGAACATTTAACTTCATATTCCAATATTTTGACATTTTGTATTCGGATCCATCTGATATCTGTAAGAAAATGTTTAAATGTGCACATGCTTGCAATTTATAATTACAATTTGTCATTGCTTAGTAACAACAAATTGTAATTATAAATCGTCAACATTTGGATAAGAAATTATTTTATATTTTGGATTATAAATTATTTTATAACATTTGGATTATAAATTATAATTATAATCCAAATGTTTGGTTTATTTTTGACGCTGTCGTGTAATTGTTTTTTGGAACTTTGAATTCTGACATCTTGGGAAGTTTAATTCTACATACATTTTATTTGAGATATTATTTAAATGTTAAATTTATTATATTAGAGAATGTAACTAATTTTTAATGATATTAATCTGAAAGTAGTGTTATTAGTTCTTAATTATAAATTTTATTTTATTTTATTTGAAACATTCTTAAAATTACAGTAATCAATTAATTCAATATTTTATTTTAGGGATATTTATATTTCCAACCTCATTCAGGAACAAATAATGAATTAATAAAAATAGATAAAGATACTTTAAAAGAAAAAGAGCATATTGAATTAGATGGTAAGAAAATTTTAAGTGTCTTCTTTAATTCATATAAACTCTTGTGTATTTATGCATATAACTGCATGTACGTGTATTTTCACTGTTCTATAATTTACTTTTTTACCAATTTTTACTTGTGTGAGGTGGAAATGCATCTTAGAGTTTATAGTGTATTATATGCATTTTTAGTCCAAAATGTTAATAATCATGAACAGACTACATAATGCATTACATACTATAACAGAAGTTTTTGGGCTGTATCGTTCATCTCTCAGATTAGTTCAAGAGAACACTGCTGTTAACAAATATTTAATTTAAACTTTTTATAATGTTTAAAATGTCTTCAAGATTACATTATAATTTAGTATTAAAAAGAATAGTTATTGCATACAGATGCATAATAAAGTCCTTATATACTTATGTAACTGATGAATGTAGATAGCTACAGTTATGAACGTAATGTATAGTTATAGTAAACTGACTATGCATTATGAGATGAGACTGCTTGCAGCACCCCTAGCAGTAAAATTTGGAAGTTAGCACTTTTATCTCAAAAATGATGCATGATATGGAAAAAAAGTAAATTAGGAAGTTGTAGAGCATGATTGATTTAGTACATAAACAGTGTGAATAGAAAACTTAAAATGCTAATGTGAATATTGAGCACTTATAGTGAAATGTGTATTTCTCATATGTGCATTCACATGTTCTCGTTATATATAAACACGAGATATGTGCATTTCTCATTTTCTTATGTCTTCAAGCTGCATTCATTGCTGTGTATCATACATCAGTGTATAAGGATTCTACTAAGCACTCTGTATAAGGAAGAACAAGGAAATAGTGTCTTCAAATACCATTTATTTCATGGTTTTTGTATTTTTTTCTAACATTTTTTACTTAACAAAAGTTAGTAGAATTAATTATTTAAATAAGTTTTTTTTCTGCATGAGAAAAAAAACCTTAAAATTCAATTTCAAACTAATGGTCTGACTTGAACCAGTGGTGTCTTAGAATTGGGAAAAATACAAGTATATGTAAATAAATATATAAACATATACATTAACCATGTAAGTAGAAACAATTAAATAATTTCAAAAATATTAAAATTTAAAATATGGGGTATTTTCCATATGATGCTTTTAAATTAAAATTAACATTTTTCAATATATATATTAGCATTATTTAAAAATTTAGATTGCTAATAGTTAAGTTAAAAATTTTTTATCAGTATTTAAATTAATTGATATATTTTTTTTTCTAGCAAGTGAATGGGGACCAAGTGCTTGTTTTACAGATGGGGAACATGTGGGAATTCTCACAGCTTCCAAAGATGTAATTGTTTGTATTGATATATTAATATTTTACTTTTCTGTTATTAAATTCTTACTGTGTTGTATATATATTAATATAAAAATATTTATAAAACTCTAAAGTGTGAATGTATACAATAAAGTCTGATAGTTTTATCATAAGTTTTATCATTTTTGTGTAACATTACTTGTTAACTGATCCTCTATGATGCTGTTTTTCAAGGTTTCCAAATTGGCAATATTTCCTCAATAAATCACCTCAATTTTTGGTTTTGAAAACCAAAAATCACATGAATTAAGATACAGGGAATAAGGTGGCCAGGCAGTAGGAAATGTAAAATTAATCATTCCATTATTTCTACCTTATATCAACAACTCTAAAAGATAGGACTCTACTCTGCCTACCAGCACTAGAGTTTTAGAGATTGTAGTTTAATTATCAGCATATGATACTCAGTAATCACAGGTGTCTGAATGATAAAAGTTGGACTAAGAAATGTTTTGGCTCTAACACTACAGCAGTTATAGGGGACCAGCCTTCACAGCCTTTATCATCCTCAATGTTCAACTCTTTAACTTTACCTACAATTTTTATACAGCATGTTGCTGCTTTACATATTCAACCAAGAACTGAATTCTTATGCTTTACAGACTGCAGGATCCCTCCTCATGCCCAGTTAAAAAGAGCTTCTAAAAGTCTCTCCTTTATATAGTCTCTCATGTTTGAGTGGACCACTCAGCATTTTACTGAGATATAGATCTGTGGACCACATTTTCTGTCTGTTTCTTTTAGTGTTTTGAGCATTACTCTTTTGTTGTTGGGCAAGGGTTTGTAAATACTCACCTCTTATCCTAAAAGCCTTACCTACATTAGCCTTTATTATGATGTGTAACTCTAGAAAGCCTCACTTTCAATCAAAGTAGGGCTTTCTGGATGGAGGGGCACGAAATCTAGTCAACAAGATTTGCCTGGCTTGTCCTAGTATTAGATCAAGAAATCTTGTCTGTGTTCTGTTGATTCCTTTTTGTTTCAAGCTAACTTTAGTTCTTCATGTTCATGATCAGTATGGGAATTCCAGCAAATTCTTTTGGGTAAGATCAGCTGTCACTCAGACAGGACTGGCTAGTCAACATCTACAAACCAAACTTCTTGTTGGCCTTGCCACAGTTCCTACATAAAAGTTTTGTTGCTTTGCATTCCTTATAGTAGTAGTCTTGTGAATAGCAACAACAGGTTTGAACTGCTAACTTGCATTCTTTGCTGTGTCCAAACTTATAGTATCTGTAGCACATTCAGAGCTAAACATTCTCTTACTCTCTTTCTTGTCCAACCCAAATGGATATTGTCCCTTTCTAGTAGCCTTTTGAACAAAGGAGCCATTACCTCACAGACCCAGTTGACAAGACTTCCTTTCCTTTCAAGGAGAACTTAGACTTCAAGTTGTCAACATGCATGCCCAAATTGTTCTGGGAATAGATGATCCCTGTCAATNGTAAATACTCACCTCTTATCCTAAAAGCCTTACCTACATTAGCCTTTATTATGATGTGTAACTCTAGAAAGCCTCACTTTCAATCAAAGTAGGGCTTTCTGGATGGAGGGGCACGAAATCTAGTCAACAAGATTTGCCTGGCTTGTCCTAGTATTAGATCAAGAAATCTTGTCTGTGTTCTGTTGATTCCTTTTTGTTTCAAGCTAACTTTAGTTCTTCATGTTCATGATCAGTATGGGAATTCCAGCAAATTCTTTCGGGTAAGATCAGCTGTCACTCAGACAGGACTGGCTAGTCAACATCTACAAACCAAACTTCTTGTTGGCCTTGCCACAGTTCCTACATAAAAGTTTTGTTGCTTTGCATTCCTTATAGTAGTAGTCTTGTGAATAGCAACAACAGGTTTGAACTGCTAACTTGCATTCTTTGCTGTGTCCAAACTTATAGTATCTGTAGCACATTCAGAGCTAAACATTCTCTTACTCTCTTTCTTGTCCAACCCAAATGGATATTGTCCCTTTCTAGTAGCCTTTTGAACAAAGGAGCCATTACCTCACAGACCCAGTTGACAAGACTTCCTTTCCTTTCAAGGAGAACTTAGACTTCAAGTTGTCAACATGCATGCCCAAATTGTTCTGGGAATAGATGATCCCTGTCAATTTATTTTTACTGACATCTGACTGGAATTATAAATGATAACTTTGGACCTGCACTTTTTAGGCAGTTGACAAATAACTGTCACTTTCAGTGCGTTTGGCTTTTCTGTCAATTCCTTTCGAAGTACTTGGACATCTTGTTGGGATGCAGCCTCAATCAGACACTGTTTCTTCTAACTTGGCAAATGTTTTTAATGTCCATTTTAAGTTATGTGAGATTTACATTCTTCTTTAAGCAATCTCATATTGCATAATTACTTTCCATCCCATCTCTGGGATTCACAAAGATCATTTGCCCTTCCTCTGTTTCAGTAGAGGAAGGACAGGTGCTTGCTTTGGCTTCCCAGCTAGCTGTTGGATATATTTGCCTACTACATGAATGTAGGTCACCTTCTTGGTAGTCATAGGCCTTTGGTTTCTGCTCTATCAGGTCTTGGTTGATCATTTGACAGATTATGGACTGCCTCCTGTTAGTTATGACTCTGACATCAGTGCAGAGAAAGCTAAACTCACATTTCTGTCTCAGCATTATTGAGATGGTCTTTTGAAAAAGGTACTAGATAGCAGAACAAACTTTTCTGACAGTGGTTGTCAGTCCTACCTAGCAGAGCTGTCAGTTCCTCCAAGATTCCCTCAATCTCTTCGCTTGTTTTTGAGCTCTTGGTTATACTACATCAGTCCCTTCTTGCTTATTAGCAATGGAAAGTTCTTTCTCCCTTTTGGCTGAAGTCTTCTCTTGTCCTGGGTCCTACTCATGGAAGCAATGCCTCTGGTTGCTTGCAAAGCCCATTATTCCCTATTCCCAGTCAACTATATCCCATCAGTGGCTGGACAATTGACAAAAGGGCAGTGGGAGATCATCACTTCCCTGGAAAACAGCATTGTGCTGCTCCCTCTGCTGTGTACTATTGTCTATGTAACATGCACTTGCTTCTGATGGTAGCAGGCTGGCAAGTCATCATTTCATCCTAACTCTCAGAATCCACGTTGTAGTAATGACTTCTTCACAGCTACAATTGGAGAGATTTTTTCCTCCTATTCTTCAGATTCTTTCTAAAATAACTATAAGTTGTTTATCCTCCTTTACAGCTGGCTTGTGTTTGTTGGCATTCCACTTTCTCTTGCAGGACTTCTGCTTCTTATTTACAGTGCAAGATACATTGAAATCCCTAATCTCCAATAACTATATGGCTCATTTTTATTTCCCTTCTGCAAAGCTTGGGAAATTTGTGTTTGTATTTTTCAAAGCTTAGAGTTGCATACATTAACTGTCTTTGATTGGCCATCATAAAATAAGATAAAGTAGATGGGAGTTGGGACCATTCTCAACCTTCCTTGAGTACATGGCATCCTTTGGAGAGTTGAGTAAGCATTTAAGAGTTATGCTATGTCTGGATTGGTCCACTGCCAGGACAGCTGTTTAAATGGTTATTGTCCAAGGTCACCTCAGCATGTCTGGCTTCTTGATGTGGTCTGCCCCCTCATTTCTGTTAGGACATGTTTGTTTCATCTCCACTTCTGAGGGCTATGGTTAGTGCATAATAGACCTTGAAGTGTGTCTCTACCCTGAGTCACAGTGACATTAGCTCTTCACTGCAGAGAGGCTTTGCTTACCATCTGTTATGGCAGATAATATTCAACAAATCCAGTAAGTTTCTACAGACACTATCCTTCTGGTCACTAGCATGGTTTCAGCTACAGGAGTACAACTTCTACTTCACTAGATTTGGCATGAAGGCGTGGCCCCAGACCAGCATCAGCTATGCGAAACCCTATAACCCTCTTGAGAAACTTTTATCTTTACTGGATAGCAGGATTTTTACTTGGCTTGCACTACTACAGGCTGGAGCATGAGTGAATGAATTCATCAACTACGGCTGCCAATTCTTGTAGTGACAGGTTGCTTGAATCTAGGAGATTCAGCATCTCCATGCCACAAAGGAGACTTCACCTGTGAGTACAGCAAGCAAAGGGTCACCTTGCTTCCAGCTAGAGTGGTGCTTTATCACAGGCAGATAACTTGGCCAGGCTGCCAAAGTGATAGGATACTGTATTTCAGCAGCATTCATGCCAAGTGTGATCCTGTGAGAGGCACCTCTGGTGTGTTTTCACTCTTGTTGGCAGAGCTACCAGCTTTCACCAGACAAGTCCAATTGACTACATTCCATTTATCATGCCCAGAGATGAGATTTTCTAGGGAAATGTGTTTGTAGTAGCTACAGAAACTATTCTCTTCCAAACAGTTTGGGGTCCACTGCAGGCCCCACTGTGATTATGCCAACAAAAACAGACTTTGTAACTAGACTATACACCTCTGTTTTGATGTGATCTAAATGCTACTATGCCATTATGCAGCTGCCTGAATGAGGATAAGTTCCAGTTTGAGGAGATTATTGAAACTCTTATGGAGGCTGTATATGTGCTTCCTGTCTGAGAGGCTTGCCAGCTTCAGCTATCAAGGGAAGACTGTCACCAAACAGGTAACCAGGGGTTACCCACAGGGTTCCAGCTCTGGATCCCTCTTCTGGCTCCTCAACATCCAAATCAATCACCAAGGGTACCCAAAAGGAGAAATCATCGGGTTTGCTGATGACACCCTCATACTCTCATCCTTCTGTCTCACAAGAACCAGGAACTCCTTCAAAAAGAAATGAACACTATCATAGAGGAAATGTCATTCTGGGCCACAAGTAACAAGCTCACCATAAACACTAAACACATGTCACAGGTCCATTGGAACTGGCTTCTTTGAAGAAGAATGGTTTTGAGGAAATACGTGTCTATGAATCTACACTGTTTCATAACTGTAGGTAAGTGAATGGAATCTGCTGAAATACAGATTTCCATGCCCAAATGCAACAATTGTAGATGTTTACTGTTCCAATGAGTGAAAATGTGACTTTTTGCTTCACAGGATCTTCCATGACCATGACATTCATTTCCATTTTGGTAAGGAAGGAAGTGCTGGTTGCAGATGATACACCAATTCACCAACTTTCCCAGTACTTCCACACTTGCCATAGTGTAAATCTAACTACTGTGACATTGCATATGCACTGTTGGAACATGCACAATTATTCATTGACTATTCAACAACTTCTGTGGTAATATTGCTAATGCCTAATGCAGTGAAAGGTTTGTCTCTTTGATCAGGTTGACTCCCAGCTCATTCTCCTGTAAGAGTGTGAAGTTAATGATCTTTGGTGTAAATTCTTACAATAGCAAAAATGCTTGAAGTGCAACCATAGCATTGTTATTGTTTTCATAAAATAGCTTTGCAAGAAATGTTCATTTCAGTAAGGTTGTGGTCATTTTAGCTGATAAGAATGATATTCAACAATTGTGATCATTTATATACCATAATTTTGCACAGATAACTTATGGTAGCATATAACCTGCAAAAGTGCAGAAAATTTCAAGAACAAAACTAAAAGCTTTATATAAAAACATTTAATTTAGATTTTCATATCTTGTCTTTAATGATGCGGTGTATCTTTACTAATTTTGTAAATGTAATACAAGAAAACAACCTTTCATTTATTTTCTGAAAAAATTAATTATAGAACAATTAAATTTTATTTAATATCATAAAATAGACATTGATTTTACCTTATTTTGAATTTTAACCTTAAAACTATAACATGTTATTAATGCAAATTAACTGATCATTATTAAATTAAATTCTTTTCAATTTGAATTTAAAAATTTCTGACTTAGGTTTATGCTAATTGAATGTTTTAACAATAAACAAGATTTCAGATAAACAAATTGCCATTTGTTTGAAATTTTAATAATTTATTAAATTTAATTAATTCAAATTTATTTTAATAATTAGAAGAATTTATAGTAGATAACAGCTTTGCCTGTTTACAGTATAAAATTTTGCAAACCATTAAATTAACAAATTTTAGTCCAACGGTCTTCAATGTAATTTAAGTTTTTTTTTCTATTTATTTAGATTGAAATGTTATAATAGTAATATAAGTATTATTCTAAATTATAATAATCATTGATGAATTAAAATATATTATGAATTAATAAATAAAAACTAATGATTGATTATAATTTTATTCTAGGATAGTTTTATTGTTCGAACTTACAAAAGCTCAGTTTCTCCAATGCCTTGTATACATGAACTCACTTTAAAATTAGCACGAAAATGTTTAGATGTATTTGGCTCAGGGATTTTTGATGATGATACAACATTCCATACAATTAGTAAGTTATATTTACATCATTAAGAGTATAAATGATTATAATTAATTTATATCTTTGGATTTTACTTGGGCTATGTTATAGCTAATTAATTAGCCATATTTTTTATAACTCTATTAAAATCAGGCAGTATGATTGAGGCTGAGCATTAGTGAAGCCTCTTTTATGCAGCTTATAGAATTGAATTTGTTCTCAAAATCTGATTGGTCAATTTTGATTAAACTTTGTTGTTTTACGAATTATGAGATGACGAAATTAAAAATGTAATAAAAATCGGGATTTATGATCTTGTTTTTGAGATACAGTGGGGTCAATGTGACAATGTCTAAGGATGCTAGCAGGAGCATGTGCAATTTAAGAAAATTTTTTTATGGCAATGTCATTGCCGTGATAGTAGTAAGTAATCATTTGGCTCTAGTAATGTCCCAATACCATGAAAGTATTGATACTGGTATCATGAGTAATTTTAAAGTATTGATACCAGTTTCAGTCTTAAAGTAGTGATACTGGCAAGTATTAGCATTGAGTTTCAAAACTGGAAAGAAAACATTGTTGGCTGTTGCTGTTCAGTCTGTCGCATTGCCTTCTAGTTGATTTTACTGCTGAAAAGGTACTGTACTCATTACAATGAAGGCTAAGTGGGTCCCAGAGCAACATTTATTTTGTTGCTTACTCCAGAGAATCCTGGCTATCTGATTCAGAAATCAGTGCATTAGTCAGTTTTTCAGTTTACACTCGTATGATGTCTTACGTACACAAAAGAAGCCTCAGATGTACAGTTTTGCTAATGGGCTCTGTGGATACTACTATACATGGGATAAGGGAGGATAAAAAATCATTGGTGAAGAGGTAAAATGGTGTCTCTACATTGAAAGTTCTGTATTGTGTTCAAGTTTTACAAATGTCAGTACAAACAAGTACAGTAGAGCATCGATTATCTGAATCAATTGGGGACTGGGGTTGTTTGGAAAATTGGAAAATCGATTTTTCGGATAACCAATTATGTATGAAAAAATATATTAACCTATCCCATGTTGAAATTTGTTCAAATCCTGGCATATCCTTAAGTACCCTCTCATGGTCAACATCACTGATGATCTGAGTCGATTAACAAACAAAAGACTGCATAATGTTTGGCTAAATATTTATTTATAAGTAGTAGTAATCAGTACTCTAAGCCAGTGTTCCGCAACCGGTGTGCCGTCACAAGGTGTAAGGTGTGACGTGAACTTTTACATATTCTATTAATTTCAAGCTTTATTTATATATTTTTATCACAATTGCTGTGCTTCTTATACTTGTATTTCAAGTGTTATTTCATAAGTGCTGCAGCACTTATGAAATAAGATGATGTTCGTTTATTCTTTATTACAAGCCATGCATTTTTATGTACTTTAAGAAATTAATGTAAAATAAATTAGCTCATGGGTGTTGATGCCTATTTAATAATAATAATAATAGGTTAGTGGCATTACGTAATTCTATTAATAGTACCATATCATATGCTTTTGAGGGGAATAACATTTTGGTGTTCCGTGTTGAGACATGTCGAGTCATGGGTGTGACATTAGTAGAAAAAGCTTGCGGAACACTGCTCTAAGCATAAATAGATTCTGGAAATGAAATTTGACAATACGTTTATTGATTTTGGTCATTAATATTTTTTATATAAGTTTAACTTAACTGAAAATAGTGTAAAATCAGTGTGTCAGTCAGTTCTTCCATTCCATTTTGATTTTGAATTAGAAACCAAAGTGGAATTTTAAAAATCTGCTTTCGTCAGACCTTACCCATCTGAAAAATATAATGATACCAGATCCAATACCCAAAAGAAAGTATTGATACTGGTATCAGTATTGGACCAAAAGTATTGAGTACAAAAAGTACTTAGTATCAAATGATACTGATACTGTATTGAAAGTAGCAATACAGTATCAGTATTGGCAGTATTGGGACATCTCTAGATAACCTCCTGAAACAAGGCCATCTAGGAACTAGTGTTATTGACTTGCTAGCAGTTCAACTCAGTTCTTAGTTTATGTTTGGAGAGAAAATGAACCATACATAATTATTACTTTTATGTTGTGCTTTATTTATATATAATTAAATGATCATAATTTCAAGTTTTTAAATGAATTACATATAATTGTTGATGCATTTGCATATTAAATTAAAATGTACAATTACAGATTAGTAAATATTAATATTTATGATACTTTTATATTAAAATTATAGATCTTTGTTCTGAAGACGAGCCATTAAATGTGGCATGTGGTAAAGATTTTGCTATTGTTAAATCTTCATCTGGGAAAGTAAGTAATCTTCATTGTATATAGTTATAAAATTCAAACACAGTAGTAAAATAATTAAGTTAATCAATAAATCAAAGACTAAACAATTGTTAATTTCTTTATTGGATTATATTTAGGCGAGTAATAAATGAAAGGTTATAATGAATAAGGATATAGCCGATAATTTTATCAGCTATATCCTTGTTCATTATTGGCTATGATAAATTAAAGATCTCAATTATTATTTTACCTCTTAATACAGTGAAATTTTAACAAATTTTTTATTTTTTATATCCATTTTATAACAATTGAAAATAATGTTTTTTGTTTATTTCAGATGTATTTTACAGGAAAATCCCAAAGTCTTGGTATTAAACAAGGGGGACCAACATTAGGAAAATGGAATGAATTACCAATTACTAAGTCACCTAAAATTGTGCAATATTCTGTTGGACATGATGGACTTCATGCTCTTTTAGTTTCTGAAGAGGGTGCCGTATTTTTTGTAGGGCTTGCAAGAAGAGGAGAAGATGGTGATCAAAGTAAGCTATGTAATTAAATTGCCTTTTTTCAATAAATTATAATTGACTATAACTACTTAATAAGCAGTTATTATTTTAAGTATGTGTAAGGATTCAATTTAAACACTTTAGAATTTTCAAAAGAAGATTCAAACTTCTTTAAGTTTTGACAGGGAAAAAATTTCAGAAAAAAATAAAACAGTTGTTAAAATCCATTATTTATATTGTATTGATAATATATATTTGGATATTTTAGTGAAAATAAGATATTCAGAATGATAAATTAGAAGTCAACAAGTCAGCTAAAGTGAAGCTAATAAATGAAAGATTGCTTATATTAAAATATTAATTTTGGGAGTTAATGAAAATTATTGTGAGATAGGCAGCGGGCCATGGGTTAATCCCACAATGACCACTTACTCTGCACAGGCTCGTGAAGCACAATCTCGGCGTCGTCGGATGGCGGTAGGAGGGCAAATTGAGTGGGGAATGGCCGGGTAAGTTGGCAGGTGCCGGTTAGACAGGAGACAGGTCAACAGAATAACAAGCATTTATTAATTAACACAACTAAGTTACAAAATACTAAACTAAATGCGATTAGATTATACTAAATTATATTGTACAGAAATTGGCGATTATATTCTTAGCTATCCTAGCCTCTAATTCAGAGAGAGAGTGCCTTTATAAAATCTACCCCTAAATACCTTTAGGTGGACGGGAGAGTTGGCAAACGTCGTCTGTATGGAAGGGTATGGTGTCTTCACCGATGGGATTACGATCCACAAATACCTTCCATGTGCGGACGCCCCCGAGCTTCCGGTGATCTCCCCTTTTATATCTTTTCGTGCGAGAGCCGACACGTCATCGCCTCTTTGTTGACGATGACGGTGCAGTCTTCACATTTAACTGTCAACTTCCTCAGCTCGTTGTTACAAACTTGATGAAATTCGATATAGTTTAAATTCCTCGGGGTTTTTCCGAAGTTAATTAACTGAAAATTTAGATGTTTAAGCGGACCGTACAAATCCAAAAAAATCCGTGACTCACATTATAATTATATAGATAAAGGACTGCAGGTTGTTAACTGCATTTCAGTGAAAAATTATTAATAGTTATTTATTTGTCTAATTATAAAGTTATACAGTGGTACCTCGGTATATGTCTGCTTTAGAATATGTCCAATTTGGAATACGTCCTGTTTGGACGAAACAAATTTTTCTCTGTATATGACTTTTGTTCAGTATACGACTTAATTCAGTTATATGCACCATCTATGAACAAGTAGCAGTATTGGTGTACTAGACCAGACTAGATGTTTGTGGTGCCAAGGTTTATAACTTTGTTAAATTTCTTCTGATTTTAATTTGTAAGTAAAATTTTATTACTTTTATTAATCATGAATTGCAAAAAGGAAATGAAAAGCAACAAAGAACTAAAAAATTGACTAGAATCACAATGGAACTGAAAAAAGAGATTGCTGAGAAATATGAAGGTGGCATGCGTGTTCGAGATTTTAACTGTTGCATACCATATTCCGAGAACAACGATATCGACAATCGCGAAAAATAAAGACATTATTAAATCTGCTAATGTTGTGAAAGAGGTTAAATCAATTTCTAAACAGAGATCAAAGGCATTAGATCATGTTGAGAAATTGCTTTTGCTTTGGATAACTGAAAAACAGTGTGCTGGCGACAGCATACTGTATCAGAAGCAATTATTTGTGAGAAAGCTAAAAAGATACATGCTGATCTCATGAAAAATCAAGCAGGAACTAGCTAGGAAAGCGAGGTGTTTAAAGCCAACCATTTTTTTACATGAGAACGAATTAATCATTTTTACATTAATTCTTATGGGAAAGATTGGTTTGGTATACATCCTATTCGGTATAAGTCCAAACTAGTGATGTGCCGGGTATCCGTATCTGCGGATATTTAAGGGAAAACAAAGATCTGTATCTGTATCTGTTACTTTTTAGCGGTTCTTTAAGGAGCTTTTATCTTAATGAATTTCATTACTTGTAGGAAGTTTTAAAGATAGGTAGCAATAAAATACTAATAACTACAATTCAAATCACTTTTTATTTCTTAAAATCACATATTTGGCACATTCATATTGTAAAAATTTTATCATGCAAAATTCATTTACTATAGTAAAATATTTCCATATTACACTACTAAACTTTTTTGTCGACATTGTTTTTATTTTAATTTAACTGAACACTCTCAAAGATACAAACGTAATCTATGCTATCCTGTGTCACACTAAACTATAAACAAAAATACGCTCAGTGCAAGTCAAAACATGTCATGTTAGTAATGCAAAGCGTCAACTATTGGCCAAAGGTCACAAGCACCGGCACCAACTGAGTACAAAAGTTGAGATCCGTATCCATATCCGCAGATCTAGACACTAATGATCCACGGATTAACGATCCGGCATTTTTAATGATCTGGCACATAACTAGTCCAAACACCAGGAACGGATTAAGGTCGTATACTGAGGTCCCACTGTATATGTATTTTTCTGCTTTTACTTTTCTGGCTGTTATAATGTAACATAGGAAAGTATTGTAATCATGTCGAATTTGATTCAGATGGGTTTTTTTGAAAATTTTGATGTTTTCAGAACTCATTCAAAAATGGGAAAATTAAATTCTCTCTCTCTCTGCATATGAATGTGTGTTAGTATCTGTTTCATTTAATATCTCAGGATGGGATGAAGATTAAGAAAGAAAATTTGGCAAGGTAACTTACCATAAACAGGTACAGGTGGAAAAGTAAACAGGCTGCATCAATAGGCATAGCCTTAAAGTAGGGAAGAAATAGTGAGTGAAATGATGTTAGGAGAAGGATGGGTGGGAAGGAAGTCTAGAAAGATGAAAGATGAAGAAGAAAGTGGAAATGAGACACATGAGTGCCCTGCCAGGTACTGTTTTTTAAGAGAGAAATATAAATGATAAAATTTCATACATAGGGGAGAACAATTAAGTGTAGCTATTAACTATGAAGTGTACTTTTACAATTAATTAATACTAGAAATAAATGGTTACCACAAGTGGTGTTACAGAGAGGTTACGGCGAGACAGAGTTATCTTTAGAACCAAATAATGAATATCACTCCATGCTGCTCTGCGATGGGTGATGGATCTTCTTATATAATTATTAATGCATGATATGCTGTGCAATCTACTAACAATTAATGCTGATAGCTATTTTAGATAGTGAATGTTAGATGCCATCAATTCTAACACACATCTCTATTTCAGATAACTACAAATGATAAAAAATGTATGTGTTAATATCAAGGAAATACAGTATATGAATTCATTTGATGAAGTATTTCAGTTTTTTTATTAGTTTTATTATTGATTTTAAAGAATGTTAAATGTTTGTGAGGTTGTGTTTAGTTCTATATAGTGAAACAAAAATTATATTATGTTGTAAAGGTGAAATTTAGACATTTTGATTTTTTCTAGAAACAACTGGAAAAAAATATTCTAGAATGTTCGGTGTGGATATACAGATAGAGTAACCAAAGGGCATTTCATCACATATTTCATTGGAAATGCACACATTAGCAATGTTTGACAATAGGAAACATTCAAAAGAACACATTCTCATGCTGTTGCTTTATCATTTGAAAAAGAACCACAACACAACAAAGGCTCACAATCTCATCTGCAATGCATTTTGTGAGATGCTGCTATAATTGATTCAAGAAATTCAAGAATACAGATTTTTCGTTTTAAGATGCACTCCATTCAGGCAGCATCTCCACCATTGATGATGATGATGATCTCCTGCAACTGATAGACGATAATTCACAGTTGTCCACCAGAGAATTAGCACAACAACTTGAGTGTTCCAAGATAAAAAAAAATAATTTATCCATAAAAGTTACCAAATGCAACACCTCCATGATAACACTCCAGCACATAGGACAAAGATGACCTTAGAGAAGGTGGCCAATTTGGCTCAAAAGTTTATCTCATCTACCTTACAGCTCAGACTTGGCACCAACTGACCACCATTTACTTTGGGTCCTGCATTATTGTATTGTCAATATATAGTTCAATGACAATACTGATGTGAGAATGATGCTCAAGACTTTTTTCAAAGAAAAACTCCAGTCATTTTATGCTTACAGGATTGAAAGTTTCCAACAAAGATGGCAAGATGTGATTGATATTGTTTGTGATTATCTACCAGGATAAACTGTAATTGTTGTTGAGTTAATTGTCAATAAAGCTTTTTTGGAACATCTAAATTTTACCTTTATAACCTGATAGAGTATATAATATATGGATAGAATAAAATAAAGAACATATATATAATATTGAAAAATTATATATATTTTTAGAATATATAAATATATATACTTTATTCAAACAGATAAAGGACGTAGACAACCTAAACCTGTTAAACCAAAGAAAATGATAAAAATGGAAGGACATCATGTTGTCACTACAGCTTGTAATAATGGTACTAGTGCTTTAGTTACTCGTGATGGAGAACTTTATCTTTTTGGGAAAGATACTACTCACACAGATCACAGTACAGGTGAGAAAAATAAATGTTTTGGTTTATTTACTTGTAAATGTAAAAAATATGGCAAGTCTGCACCAAATAAATTTTTCTTGTTGTATGAGATTATAAATTGACCATTTTAATTTAACATGGAAAGCACACAAAGAATTTGTTTAAATGTATTAATTATTTTATGTGATTATTATTTTTTTATCATGTTAATTTTGCTACAGCAGTTATTTATTAGAGATTATTTATATTTTAAAGTTTAATACTTTCAATTACCATGTTTATAAAACTGTTTAATTTGCTTTCTTACAGATTGTAAATACATTACATTAAATTGTAAATGCAGTATTTCGTTTATTATAAGAAAATTAAAAATATTATAAAATGAAAGTGTCATTTGTATATTTTAATGATTTAATCTCCATCTGATTATTTCTTCTTTTGTTGAATTGACTGTTGTAAGTTATTTAACTGGCTTTTATCAGTAGAAATTTTTTTCAAATGAATGTTCAATAGGGAAAAAGCATTTGAAGCATTTTGAAGTTAAATGTGATCAGATTTAAATGGAAATAGGTGATATTCGACCTGGGTCCTAGGTACAAATGAATCTCAAAATTTAATCTTTTACATAAAAAATATTATTTGAAAGTGTATAGGTTAGAAGTTGATGTGCAATTAGAATATACCTAAAAAAAACAGTACAGATCTAATTTATTAGGTTAAACTTTCTTTTGACAAATAGTGAAAAATCTTTTATTTGTTTTATTAAATTTTATATATATATTTTTATTACTCTTAGAAAGGATAGTGTTTACATTTGAGACTAGCCAGGCTCCATCTCACCCCTCTCAGATCTTGAATGTGATAAGATTTTAATCTTATAAATTATTGTTATATTTAGTGCATATGTTATAGTATTTTATTATTTATTTTTTGATTTCAAAATAATATGTCAAGACATTTTTGTTTTAGGTGTAGTTACAGAATTAAAAGAAGTTGTCATTACTCAAGTGGCTTTAGGAAAAGCACACGTAGTGGCATTATCAAATAAAGGTCAAGTGTACACTTTTGGAATTAATCATAAAGGCCAGTGTGGTAGAGAATTTATGCATAATACAAATAAAGAAGGTATGTTCTTAATTCTTTTAATATTTTTGAAATAATTAATAATACAGTCAAACCTCAGTTTTTGAACATCTCACTTTTTGAACAATTTGGTTCACAAACAGAATTTTGAACTCATAATTGCCCCACTTGCCATATGATAATTCGATTGCCAAACAAGCTACTCAGCAAGAGCTGGCCACAGATTAGAGACAAAGACTGTCAATTCCCTATACTTCCTATGTTAAAGAAAGTCTATAGCCTCACCAATCAATGACGAGACTATTGATTCAGAAATTATACTGGCTCTCCACTTACATGATCATGTTGCCTTTCTTAATGATTTATAGAGTGATGCATTCGCTGTCCTAAGTGCCTTCACACTTCACATGAAATGGAAGTCAATTTGCAATGAATTATGGAAATTTTTTTAAATGGTAGCAAAACTCAATTTTAAATTTAAAAATATATATTATTATTTTATTTTATTTTGTATTTAATTTTTTAATCCAATATTAACTATTTTATTGCATATTATCAAAATTTCCACACCATGTCATATGTAGTGCTAAGGAGGATGGGTAAAAATATGATGTCACATACACTTGGAATTATGGATGCTGCATGCTGATTAGCTGTGATAGAATAGCTAGGCAAAAATATACATTGTTTCATTACTCTGTCACCAAAGTACTCAAAGGCAGTTTTACTGTGCATGAGCAGTGACTAAGGTGATTGAATTGCTTCAAAATCATGCTAAGAGGAGAGCCAACATTAGTGGCACAGAGATTGCCTTGTGCCATTAGATGTCAAGACATGAATCATTGAATACATTGTAATTGAAATTAGATTTTAGAATACATGCAGATATATACTATTTCTGTTTTTGGTACACACCACAGTTGAATCTTAATAAAATTAATTAATTAAAATTGTGTTAATTGACAGTTTAACAATTA